GGGCCCTCTGGAAGAGTAGCAAGTGTTGTTACTCAGGGAGCCATCCACATGTCAAGGCCCTCCCTAGGGTTTCTAGCAAAATAATTTGAGATTCTAAGAATGTGGTAAGTTTAAACTATGTGAAATTCTTATTTGCATTTTGTAATCTCTGACATCCTCACATCATGACAGTAACTATTGGATGAGAGTTGCATTAAATTCTCTCATTGATTATCTACCAATGTCAAGCTCTCAGCATCATGTTGGGTCCTGGGAGAAGGCGAGCAGAAGTCATTCTCTGCCAGAATGGATGTCACATATGGGAGAGGTGTGACAATGGAGCCAAGAGCACATAGGAGAGAAAGAGCCACTAAAGAACTGCAAGGCCACCCAGGCGGCCACCTCCAGCTTTCCGAGGGGCCAGAATAAATGTGCAGATAGAGAAACGTTAAAAGGCCAATGGGATTTGTCAGGCAGAGAAGAGATGAAGACAAATTCCAAGAGAGGAAACCAGCATGTCATCATATCAACTGGCCATGAAGCTAATATTTCACTTACTACTGCTGAAGATAGTACTGTTGTGAGTTTTCCACCTCTGGCAAATACTTAAGTTAATGAGAGCTGTGCCGGTTAACACATATTGGACAGGATCGCTCATTCCATGGTTGGGGTGGGAGTGTTTTCAGGTTGACTAGCATTCCCCGCCTGATCACTTCTCCTTCCTTTCCGTGCCATCACAGACTTTGAAAGTCGTTTTGAAAGCAGCGGTCTATGAACCTTTTAAGCAGCACAATCAGAGCTCTTTAAAGCCTTGCTGATTCCAGCGCTATTACCACCCAGAGCTCCTGTGTCGGCTTTATATTCACATAGCATTCAGTGTTGATGGGTTTATTTGGGGTGTTTGGACATATTTACATTTGTGCTTAGGAAAGCATCTTTCTGAACTGTGACAGCAAACTGTGAATTCCACCAGGAAACAGGGCTTCAGAATATTGGCAACGTGCTCATGTTCACTAGACTCTCTATTTAAGTATCTGTGGGGACTGTCTTCCAGGACACATATGTTCTTATTAATTGATTGCACATTAATAAAAATAACAAGTTAACAGCTTTAACGCTTTTTCCATGGAAGTGCTAGCATGATAAAACAGGATCCCCCAAACTTCTGTTTCTTTGGATTTTACTTAACTGAAGATAAAGAAACAACAGAGTTTACTTTTCAAATAAGACACTTTCTGCCTTCCTAGCACTTGGGAAACAGAGGCAGAAGTGCCAATTCAAGCCCAGCTTGAACTACAGAGCAGCACTGTCTCAAATGAGCAAACAAACAAGTACAGATGTTGGTGCACTCTCTCTCTCTCTCTCTCTCTCTCTCTCTCTCTCTCACACACACACACAAAGTCATACACACGAGAATGTGAACATTCATGCACACCTGCACACATATGTATGAACACATACACGCAGGCACACACACATGCACACACAGTTGCATGGACACACAGGGATGTATACATGCACAAATGTGAGCACACACATGCATTCGCACATGTACACACACAGGTGTACATGAATTCATAGTTCTTCAGATATACTGACCACATAACATTATAGTGAGATTCTGTACCTCTCTACACAGCCTTCTTCAGAAGACTTATTCAGACCAGTCTACTCATTTTGTCCTTAATAATTTCCATTCTGATTATCGAGACTCGATAACCACATATGAATCCAGATATTCAAGTCCAGTTTGTGTTACTCTTCCTTTTCAGCAATAAGCATAATAAATATTCCTTCTGCTTACAACAGCAAAGCAGGAATTCAGTTGATCTGAGGGTACTAGGAACATAATGCATTCAGGGTTTACCTGACTTTAAACTATTGAAAATTCAAGTCACTGGAGTGGTGGGGTGAAGAATCCAAGGTATATGATAGAGAAGATATATATGATAGGGAAGAATTCAACAAGCTTAGGTAAACAACTGAGGATCGATGAGTAACTAACAGGCTCATGTTGCAAGATCTCTGAGCTATCTAAGTTGTTAGTAAAGACTTTATGAAGAGAGGAAATGCATTACACCATTACCTCTCTGCTATGGCAATGCTAGGTGACCTCAAGAGAGTGTGGATCTGAGAACAGGAAGTAGGAGAGTCATGCAGGGTCAGTGGGGGTCAATAAAGCAGAATCATTACATTCAATGATCTGTGTGTATTTTATTCTAGTGCATTACTTCTAATATACAACTTTCTTTTCATTTAGGACCATGAGCTTGCTGTACTGTTGAGAAGAATTCTAGCTTGGTTTTAGTGCGGAAGGATGCTGATCTGGGGTCTTTGTTGATGGGCCTAGAAGTGGAAGCAGGCAGACTATCTGCCCTTTCCCAGCCATCACCAGAGACTCCCACCCTCACTTCATAAGCATGATATTGGTTCCACTCCAGATGCAGAATCAAATCCTGGTGAGGATTTAGTAGAGGATAAAGAATGAAGTGTCCCTTTGTGTACTAAACACTTCTGGTGATCCTATTACAAATCTACCGTAATTATCTTCTAAATTCCTAAATATGACCTTTTTCCCTCACCTCTTTTTTAAAATTGCTTTTTATTTACATTAAAGACAACCTTGTTTTACCTACCTTGCCTCTTTTGAAGGTTCCATTCACTCTCACATATCATTTCACTCTCAGTGCATTTCATGAGCTTACTCATGAGCTTACTCATCTTTCTCCTGCTAATCTACTGAGCTGCTTGCTCATCAGCGTTAGTGCAAGGGTCCCTATCTGTGTGTGAGGCCACTACGCTTGTGATCCGAATCCTATGTATTCCCCTCCAAAGGCTTCTGTTTCTACAAAACTGCCTGTCTCTGTTCTTCATGTCAAATAGGACCTTGAATTTCAACTAGTTTATGATTTAAGGTTTCCTATGCCTTAGGAACAAACCAGGCCTCCTGAACGTAGGTGCCATTTGGGGAACCTGGGCAGTCAATAGGGCCTCTGGCAGTGGAACCAGTATTTATCCCTAGTGCACAAATGGGTCTTGGAAGCCCATTTCCTTTGCAGGGGTACTCTCTCAGCCTAGATATATGGGGGAAGGCCTAGGCCCTGCCCCTAGTGATGTGACAGACTCTCATGATCCCCCATGAAGGCCTCACCCTCCCAGAGGAGTGGATGGAGGATGGGATGGGGGTTGGTGAGGGACTTGTAGGAAGGGAGGAAGAGGAAACTGGGATTAGTATGTAAAATAAGATTGTTTGTAATTTAAATAAAAATTAATTAAAATGATTTCCTATGGCTGTGATAGTCATAATCTAAGCCAACCCAGGTATACCTGATACATTTTCTCCTCACATGACAATACTATTTCTCCGACAAGTTTTATACTTTCGTAGCTATCCATGAGTGATCTGCTCCCATCTCTTGTTGAGGTTGGATGGCTTTGAGTCACACATATGCTTTGTTTTACTTAAAGATTTAGCAGCAGTCAAGTCAGTTATCACCTTGTCCTATCTGGTAAAATTCGGCAAATAGCAATTGGTATTCTGACTGCTGAATTCAGTTAATATGTGTTTTTGCTGAACCAGGATGTGCTAGTTCTAGAATGACCTATGATAAGCTAACGCTTTGGCTTTGCATATGCAACCAACAGTACTCTACTTCTTATTTCTAGCTAGGAAGCAATAGTGGTGACTAACCAATGACAGGTTTTGGCTCTTACATTTTTCAGAGACCTGGTCCCACCACATAGCCCAGCTTCCCAGTCCTCCCCTGTTCTGATATTACATACAGGAATTACCATCCAACTAATTCTTGGCTTTATGTATGCTTGCTAATATGGAGGAAAATATTGTGATCTTTACACTTATCTCCAATTTGGCAAATAGCATAGGTTTTTTTTCAGATATAGTGAAGATGACTAAGAGCCCAGGAGGGTCCTTTCCTATTTTGTAGTGTGTGCACTTAGGATCACAGTAAGAATAAAGAGTTAAAATATGCTTAGGAGTAGTCATTTCTCTATGAAGAACTGTGTGAACAGAAACGTCTTTTAAAGATAAGTACATGCTCAAAAATGAGGCTTGTGGTGGGACTGGAAAGGCTTTCTGCAAAGTGGGTTATCTCTGAAATATATGAAATCTTTTCATATGTAAATAAAGTAAAACTTGGCAGCTGTACCATCTGTGAGAATGTGAGAGTTCTGGGAAATGAGTCATTCAGTGACAGAGATATGAAACTGTTTTTGAATATAAAAATATGTGAGCTACTTAAGAGTCCAGAGTGCTTGAGTTAGTACTTCTGGCAGCAGAGTATCTCAAATTGACAGGGGGCATCAAGAAATTAATAAACACTACAATTAGTGAAGGGGGAAAGCTGTAAGTAGTTAACACTGTTTTTAAAATCAGCCCAATTCCATAATTGAATCAAATATTAATGTGCTTAGTAGAGCTCCCTCGTTCTGCATCCTCTTGGCTGAAAAGAGCCTGAGGTTCAGGGGTAGTGAGCAGTTTGCCTGTGGGAAGTGTGGAGCAATAGGAAGGGGCAGGACAGATGCAGTTTGCCAATACCCAATTCTCATTTTTTTTCCTTCTCTGTGTGGCACAGTCTCACTTGTGAGAAAATCGTGTGCTAACTTGGATGTGTTCCTAAAGTGTTTAGGTTCTCCCAAACAATCTTGTGTGGGCTCAGAAATTTGTTAACTTGTGTTTAGAATACTATGCTTAAGATTCCAAATGCTGAAAATTGACTTTTTAGTTTTCATGAGATGAGACAGAAAACTAAATATCATCATACAATGCACACCACGAGTTATGCTCAAATGTGCCCACATCATGACCTTTCAAATGGGCAGCTCTTATCACTTTATATACCCAACCTCCACCATCTCTCTTCCCCCCCCCTCCATAATTGGGTCCTCCAAATCTGAGTTGAAGAGGAAATTTCTCAACAGAGAGACAATGGAGACGGTTACACTAGTTATCTATTCTACTTAAAGTAAAACATACATATTAGAGACAGGCTTCTTGGGAATGTTTTGGACTTTCATGTTTATTATGGAATAAGCTGTTCTCTTCTTGTAATGGAGAAAACTATTACATAAAACCCAGAAAGTAACCTGATTGGTTTTCCTTATTTATAAAGTTGAAAAGTAAGGAATTTCAATTTTCTCTTGCCCATCAAAGTTGAATATAAAGTTGACTGTTTCTGAGATTCTAAAATGTGTAAACATGATAATACTGTCTACTTATTTCAGATTTCATTGGAATTACAAACTTTCGACATATAGTGTTTGAAAATCCACTACTAGTAAAAGTAATGATGAGTATCTTAATCCCAGCAATCAGGAGGCAAATGCCGGAGGATCTCAATGAGTTTGAAGTCAGGTCTACAGAGCAAGTTCCAGGACAGACAGAGCTATACAGTGAGAGCTTGTCTGAAAACAAAAACAAAAACAAAATCCAGTTCTGCTAGTATTCAATATTCTCAATGGTGTATATCTAGAAGCCTTGCTGAGAGGCAGCTTTGTAGTGATAGGGTTATACACAGCTGTCACACTTCCAGGGTGAAGCTAGGTGCCACTGTTTCCCAGGCAACTCCAGATAAAGTCTCAAGGCTCTAATGGCCATTATGCAAATGTAACTAACAATTTCTCCATACTAGGACTAAGATAATTTATACATTGAACTAACAAAATTCCAAGCTCTCAGGAATTTAGCTCATTTAATACAGAGAACAAGATAAAGGCATACTAATTCATTATGTTGAAGGTTGGTTCACTTCTTTACAAACTATGAAATTTATTCAGGTATCTATACTGTCATATCACTTTTTCTTTAAAAAATGTGCTTAAATAAAAATAACTGTGTTGCTTGCAGTTAAGTAAATGCAGCAGTGATGGGATCCATTTTTTTCCTAAGGTGATCTGAGCATTATTTTTCTCTGTTCTTACAAAGGTTTTAGAATTTTTTTTGTACTAACAATGAAATCCTGTGGTTTTCTCACTGACTAATTAAAGTCTTGACATATTCATTTTAGGTGCTTATAAGGATCATAACTGTGTTCTCCTTTTAAAATCATTATATAGGAATTATACCTAAAAGAGCAGCTTCTAAGCCTATAAAAGGAAGTGTGAAACTATACCTTAGGAAGGTTGTGGTGATTGTTTTCTGTTCAAGTGTCAAAAATCAAGTCCCTCCCTTTCTTAGCTTGCTTCATACTAAATACGAGGCATAGCTATTGCCAGGAGTTATGACACAGTGTTATTTATTTGTTAATACATGAAAGTTTGCAGGTGTCCAATAAACTTTGGACACACAATTCCAATCCCTAATATTGACAGACCTGATCCCCCACTCTGTCTCCTGGGAAGTATGAAGAGCATTCACTTGGTGGCTCTGTAGTTCACATGGACGTCAGCTTTCAGGTCACACACCATGCTCAGCAACTGCTTAATTACGCTTTCCATACAATTGTTGTAGCTTCTGTTCAACTCTTTTATCTTTTCTAGTGTTTGGTCTTCTATTTCATCTGAGAGGTGGCTCTGGGAGCCCATCATCTGTGAAAGCAAAAGATGAGATTTATTTTAACATATGCCATTTAAAATTAAATTAGTTTATAAACTTCAGTATATTTTTTTATGATTGTTCTATGGTGTGAATGTGCCTTGTGTGTGTGTGTGTGTGTGTGTGTGTTTGTGTGTGTGCCTGTGTGTCTGTGCCTGTGTCTCTGTGTGTGCACATACTAGATTCCTTTCTTTTGGGAACTGGCAAGATTATGAACCTCTCTAAAGACACAGTGAGCTTATTCCATAGCCTGCACTTGAGTTTCTAATCCGTATGCCTTGCACACACTTTTATATAACATTTAAAGTATTTTCAATAATTTCCATTCTATTCTAAAATTTCCTTTTGTTTACTTTCTGAATTCCAATTCTGGAAAGTGGAGTTGAAGACAGTACTAAGCTCATGTTTCCCTGAATTTACAGGACAAAAATATATTAAATTATATATATATATATATATTTGTGATGTAGAATAACAGGTATAATATTGAGAATTTTTTCAGAACAAAAATATATTATAATTTTCAGAATAAAAATATATTATAATTATATACATATATATTTGTGATGTAGAATAACAGGTATAATATTGAGAATTTTTTCATAAACTAGTTTTCACTCAGATTGAATCTTGCTTGTTCATTTAGTCACTTTTAAATTTTAGACAGTTAAATTTTTCCTATTGCTCTTTATTAAGCAGTGATTCCTTTTATTTTTCATTTTTTGAACCTATTTGCATCTTCATCAAGTCATTATTTGCCTAAAATATAATGTATCAAAGAAAGGCATCAATTGATAACAGTGCTGCATTTAACACTTTGCTTATAATTCATCTCTCTCTAAACTCAATCTCTCATCCTTCTCTTTCTCTTCTCTCTCCTTTACTTCCTTCTCTTCCTCCTCTTTTATTTGAGGATGGATCTTATGTAGCTCATATTTGGAAGAAACTCACCATGTATCTGATAATGACCTTGACTTCTTCATCCTCTTGTCTCTATCTTTTAGTGCTGAATTACAGAGTACTTGTGTCACTATGTCCCATCTATGGGTTCTGCAGACTAAACCCAGGATTTCATGCCTGTGATGCTAGATACTAAGATACTTTCCTTCTTGACCTCTCTCTCTCTCTCTCTCTCTCTCTCTCTCTCTCTCTCTCTCTCTCTCTCTCTCTCTCCTTATTTCTCTTCTTTTTTGGGGGTGGTGGTCTCTCTCTCTCTCTCTCTCTCTCTCTCTCTCTTTCTCTCTCCTTATTTCTCTTCTTTTTTGGGGGTGGTGGTGGTGATTCGAGACAGTGCTTCTCTGTAGCTTTGGAGCCTATCCTGGTACTCACTCTGTAGACCAGGCTGGCCTTGAACTCACAGAGATCCACCTGCCTCTGCCTCTCAAGTTCTGGGATTAAAGTTGTGTACCACCACTGCCTACTTGACCTTTCTTAAACATGGGTCTGTTAAGGCAAGACTATTGAGGGTTTCCATTTTCTGTTTTAGTAGCTATGTATTTAATACAACCCCAGGAATTTGTTGTAGAGTTGTTAGGTCACTATAACTCTATAATCTAGAACCTTTTTGGTTCCTAAATTTGAAATGAGACACAATCCCAGCTGTTGGGTCTAAGATCTTTCCTGTTTATATTCCAGGCACCAGATAAACAGAGAATGTGACTCTGTGAAGCTACAGTACATAAGAGCCAAGATAACCTTAAGTAAAAGGGATTATGGTAACTGAGTGTGTAAGAAGTGATGTGCCTCTGGAGATCCATCATGAAGGGCTTCACTCTACCTGGGGATCCAGAGTGGAGATTGGGTGGAGGACTGGGGGGCCTGGGGGGGAAGGGTTGGGGAGGAGAGGAGGGAGAAGAAGATGGGATTGACATGTGAAACAAACTTGTTTCTAACTTAAATTTAAAAAAGGAAGAAAAAAAAGAGGTACAGATAAACATCTGGATTATGAGGTTATTATAGATTACATTTGTGATAGCTTCATGGGTTTATGAATTTTCAAAGCTTATGAACATGTATATTTTGCATGAGGATATTTTGTTGTATGTGAATTCAACCTCAGTAAAAGCACTTTAACAAAATGAAAAAAAAAGAAGTGATACACATGGAGATTATTCTATGTTTAAAAATATTTGAGGTTACTTAACAACACAGCTCCACAAAATGCATTTTTAAAATTTTAGATCCAGTGTCATCAGTAGAAGTCCACAAAATTGAACCAAAGATTCAATTAGAAGTCTTATGTGGTTAAAAAAAGAAAGGTAAATAACTGTCAAACTATTGCCTATGCTCAGTACATATTACTGAAGTGAGGGGCTACCCAGGTCTTACAGATAACTCAGGTCCTGTGTTTTGTAGTTCACATTGTCCAAAGTCTGAAAATTTGGGGCATTTTATAAATTGGAAGTTGATCATTCCATAGTATGCCATGATACATGTAGGCTAAGAGTGCTGTCACTTAACTTTTATGTGCCCATTTTCAACCATTTTTGCAACCCCGTGTATAGCCTTATAGCCGGGTATTGATGCTGAGTTAAGAGCTTTCAACACTTGATACTTTACTTTATAATGTAAATATTTCGGGGGAAGAGATAGGACAAGGTGCTGACACCAGGAGACCATCCCAGAGAAGACCTGCAAAGATGGTTTTATACTACGCTTGATATAGCACAGGCTCTGGTTCCTTTCTTAAGTGCATTACTTTTGATCACTTAACTGTAAAATTGGCTTGGGAGGCTATTCTAGAGTGATGAGGAGTTTTAATTATTGTTCAAATCAGAGAGCAAATCTCCAGTTAGATTTACATTGGATTGAATCCTTCAAGGGGGGGGGGTTCACAGGCTTTAAACCAAGCACTTTCTAAACTATGGTCAGTTTTGTTTTTACTTAAAAGTTAGATGTATTGCCATTCCAGAAGCACCTACAGAAGACGATCAAGGCTGGCTGTTGGTGAGGGCTGTCCTGTCTCTTCTAGTCTGTCATTCTCATGACAGACCTTGCTAGCAAGGATGAGGACAGAGAATGCTTACTGATTTGTTAGTTCAACAAGGGTCTACTGAACGTCCACTATGGAGCAGTAGTAGGAAATCTAGGAAAATAAGAGAACACAACAAGAATGCACAATTTCTAGACTTATGGTCTAGAAAGAATAATGGACAACTGCAATGAATGCAAATATACAATATATCACATAGTGACAAATGCTATGAAAAAAGCAAAGATAATATTATTTTCCAAAGAGGTTACTTCAGATAAGGTAGTCAGGAAAAGAGGCTAACAGTTGAACACGGATAAAGAAAGAAGAGAATGTCTAAATAGAAGAGGGCTACAAAGCCAAGAACAGTATGAGTAAAGGCCCCATGTTACTTGGATTCTTTGTGTCCTTAGGAAGAAAAGAGTTAGTACAATTAGAATAGAAAAGTTTAAAGATCTACAGAAAACATAAATCCCAGTCCTGAGGGTTGTACTCATATGTATGAATATGAATTAGTTCAGAATTTTGGCTTCTAAACATTTATAGAAATAATTAATTTTTCTGATTGATCCACTGTATGCCAAGATGTATGTGGTGTGTGTGTGTGTGTGTGTGTGTGTGTGTGTGTGTGTGTGTGTGTGTGTGTATGTTCTGGGAATTGAACTCAGGGCCTAACACCTGCTAGGCAAATGCTCTGCCACTGAGTTATACTCTTAGCCTAACAAGGAAAATTATTTAAACAAATAACTTACTGAGCAAAACTTTTTTCTTTTTACAGTTGGGTCCAATTTTTGTATCTCTGTGAGTTCTTCATGTATTTCCCACTTAAAAAAGATTGTAAATGAATTTCTAAACTCTTGTGCTTCATTTTGCAATGGCAGGTTTCCGAAATAGTATTATATTCATATTTTAATGGGACAAAATGTATTACATGAGCTTGCCTTTGATATATAGAGGTGAATGCTTTCTTTTAGGCTTGTTTGAAACCTGGAATAGTATCCTTCCTGAAAATACCATGCTCTTATTTCTTATTTATTATTTTATTTTGTTATTAATTTATAGGTGCATGTGCATGTATATGCAGAAGCCAGAAAAACCTGCTGGGTCTCCTGGAGCTGAAGTTGCAGGTGGTTTGAGCAGCCAGATAGAGGTGCTCGGAATTGAACCCTGGTCTTCTGGAAGGGGAGCAAGACTTGAATACTGACCAGTCTCTCCAGCACCATCATGCACTCAACTTTCACTACAAACTTCATACACTTAAAAAATGATAGCATGAAAAAATCCAGGCTTCTGTTTTTATTTAAATGGAAATTTTACTGAATTAGTGTATCTAATTGCGGAGGAATCATAAGGAAATACCAAGATCTTTCTTTGTTTCATAGCTTTTGAAACAGGGTCAGGATGCCTTGAGCCTCTTACCTCCACTTCCCGAGTCTGGGATTACAAGTACGTGTGGCACCAAAACACTAGGACTGGTGTCTACATGAATCTGCTAAAAGAGAGCTGGCCTAACAAATTCATTTTGCATCTTAGCCTGCACACCAGTCACTGATTCTGTTAGTGAGCACCAACCCACAAAATGCACATTTCTATGGTAAGAATACTTCAAGCCAGTCTTTTCAGGTGTCTCTTTGAGGATATGAACGTGAATACCCACTATATGTCAGATAGCAACTGAGTGGCCTTCCTATTTGACAAAAATGCATATAAGTGAAATTAGTAAAAAGATTTGGCTGTATGTTCAGCCTTGGTTAAGCTAGACTTGCTGAATCCCAAGCAGATTATTCTATTATTCTGCCTTAGCCCTTACACACAGGAACACTCATCAGAGCACCTGTCAGTCAGTGCTGACCTCTTCCTCACCTTTGACTGCTTCAGGTGGAACTCCTTCTCCCTCTGCATTCTGTACTGGTCAGTCTCAGCCATGGCTTCTTCCTTAGCTTGCTTCAGTCGCTTTCCTTTTCCTGAGAATTAACAGCAGCAGAAGTAACAGATTTCTTTTTATCACTTATAGAAGCGTAAATGATTGGAAAAATTATTTTCTTCTGATATAGGGTCTCATTATGTAGCCTTACCTGGTCTGTGACTTGCTTTGTATACCAGACTAGACAAAAACTCACAGAGATCTGGCTAGTTCTGACACCTGAGTGTTGAGATTAAAGGTGTGCCCCACCCACCAGACCTGTAGTATTCAGTTAAGAGCTAGCACTGCTCTTGTAGAGGATCTCCCAGCCCCCATTTCCAGTGGCACACAACTGCCTGAAATTCTGAGTGCATGTATCGTGTGCACAGGTGTAACCCTGTGAGTGCACACATCACATGCTCATGTGTAACCCTGTGAGTGCACACATCACATGCTCATGTGTAACCCTGTGAGTGCACACATCATATGCTCATGTGTAACCCTGTGAGTGCACACATCACATGCTCATGTGTAACCCTGTGAGTGCACACATCATATGCTCATGTGTAACCCTGTGAGTGCACACATCACATGCTCATGTGTAACCCTGTGAGCACACATCACATGCTCATGTGTAACCCTGTGAGTGCACACATCACATGCTCATGTGTAACCCTGTGAGTGCACATATCACATGCTGTGTAACCCTGAGTGCACACATCACATGCTCATGTGTAACCCTGTGAGTGCACATCACATGCTTATGTGTAACCCTGAGTGCACACATCACATGCTCATGTGTAACCCTGTGAGTGCACACATCACATGCTCATGTGTAACCCTGAGTGCACACATCACATGCTCATGTGTAACCCTGTGAGTGCACACATCACATGCTCATGTGTAACCCTGAGTGCACACATCACATGCTCATGTGTAACCCTGTGAGTGCACACATCACATGCTCATGTGTAACCCTGTGAGCACACACATCACATGATCAGGTGTAGCCCTGTGAGCACACAAATCACATGATCAGGTGTAACCCTGCGAGTGCACACATCATATGAACAGGTGTAAATCTGTTAGTGCACTCATCATGTGTACAGGTTCACACACAGGGACACATTTAAAAATAATAATAAAAATAAATATTTTGGATGGAGAGATAGCTCAGTCATTGAAGGTCGCTCACATATCTTCTAAAGAATACAAGTTTGGTTCCCAGAAAATGACTTTAAAAGCAGATTGACGAATACCCCTTCATACACACACACACACACACACACACACACACACACACACACACACGTGTGTGTGTGTGAGTGTATTCTATAAATATACATATTCTATTATGTCAAACTTCATTAAAATAATATTCAACTTTTTCGTTTTTTTTTTCTTCAATTGGGTCCTTTAGAGAATGGAGTAACAGCTCTCTTTCAGACTTATACATTAAAAAAATTTACCCACATACTCACAGCAGTAACAACCAGAGAACAGCTTTTAGCTGTCATTTACTCAAAAAAGACATTATTTGGTCCGATTTTTCTGTCCTGACTGGTTGCCAGGCATCCTTCAATCCACACCAACTGGATCCTATTTAGTGCGGGCAGATCTCCAAAATCACTGCAGACTGCAGCTCAGACTCTACCAAATGACTTTCAAGTTTTAAGGCATTTTATTGGGAGCTTTTTCTTCCCATTTGCTACTCTAGAATGTCTGATTAAGCTCCACAACACATCAAAGTAGTTTTTCTTATGGTAGCTTTCTCTGGGGGGGACTTGAAAGAGGCTGTAAAACCAACTGTTTTTAATGGTTGGGCGATTTAGCTAAGTACCCCCTTTCTTTTTATTAAGAGCAAAGGTGTAAGCCTTAAGCCATAAGACAAGGTAAGACGAAAGTCTTAGACAAACACTGCAATGGGCATCATTAGCCATGCACATGTTTTTTTGACAACAGACTGATCATAATGGCCGCTGTGTCCCCAGCCTCAACTTTCTAGGAGATAGGCACGAATGCTCTGTAGCATTAAAACTTTCAAGAAACTCTTAACTTTATTTTCTCTCTTGGAATCTATTGCCTTTCAATGTCATTTAAGATACAGTAGTTTTGTTTACGTGACATGTTTTATTCTCTGGTCATATCTCAAGTTTGGGTTACAAATTTTGCTGTTATACTATACACAGTTTGAACTAGATAAGTAAACCTCATTAAGTAGCAAGAGGGGTTTAAAACAATTTTAATTGTATTTATCATCATCATCATCATCATCATTATTATTAGTGTGTGTGTGTGTGTGTGTGTGCGTGTGTGTGTGTATCTGTGCAGTGGATATGAGAATGTGGGTTCTCATGCCAAGACATGTGTAGATATCAGAGGACAACTCACTCTATAGAGTGGGTCCTTTCCTTACACCTTTCTGTGGGATCAAACTCAAATTCAGCCCTACCCAGGTAAGAGCTTTTACACTTCGAGTCATCTCACTGAAACAACAAGAAGAAAAAGTCTTAATAAAAACTTTTATTTGTCGCTTGTACCTTTGTAGCATTTGTGCCAGGTGGAGATGGCTTCTACATTTCTCTCCTGGCTGGGCACAAGTTGTTTTAGTAGTCATTGAAAATGTGTTTAGAATAAAGACAGATTCACTTGGCTGGAACTTGCTAACACTTTTCAGAATAGATAATTAGCCTTGTTTTCAATTTCTTTAAATACAAAGTCTGATGGACACTAATTTTGAGATTCCTTGGGCTTAGTGAAACACTAACAGCAAGACTTTCCTTCTGCCTACTTTATGCTTGCTGCCAACTGCTTCAGGACATTATGACTCTACCTACTTCATGGCAACAAACACACCCTATTTATATAGAAGCTCTTGTCACATCTTGTCATTAGCATCAGGATAAAAATACAAACTTACTTTACTATTTTCTTAAGTGATAATGATTTGATACATAATTATTTTCCAAACTTAATGTGTTAAAACATCGTCTTTCGCTACCTTGATCCCATAATATGTAAAATTACTGGTTTCAAAGTTATGACTCCGGTACATTTATTGAAAAGATAATAGAAGGAACAGGTCTGTGTGCCCTATCCCTGAGCAGAATCCAGCACTGCCCTAAGAGGCTCCACCACCTAGTGACAGGCTTGGAGCCTGTCTGTGATTCCCCTGTCAAGGCACCAGTCACCTGCTGGTTCTCATTCAATTACAGAGGAGAGCCACAGGAAATCACTGCTGGCCCAGCAATTTTCTGGATAGACTCAGCAGCTGCTGCTGTGTGAGAGCCTGCACATGCTACACCTGATTTAACCTGGTGGAAGAAATGGAAGCCTAAAGTTGATGCTTTAGTTAGAGGTGAAGCGAAATGCATGCATCAAATCCACTCATATTAACCTCTAGCTCGCTTCTCTCTGTGTATGGGAAGAGTGCCAAAATTTGAAAGTATACCTATTTGTTAAGCATTAAAACACAGTTACTGTGAAACAAAAGAAATTCCTATCTTTTATAACCATATATAACAGTTAAATTTATGCATCCATAACACTTATAAGTATATATAGGCTTATAAGACCAAGAGTTCTAATTTTTGGTTCAGAAAATGTATTCACTGTATGCATCAAGATTTTAAATAATGTTCAAAAGGGTGCTGCAGAGTGGTTCCAGAATGAATGGGCTTCCTTTAGTCTTCCATTTTTTGTTCAGCGATTCTTGACTACCTCCTCTACAAGCATAGAGCCAGACACAGAAAATGCACATGTGGATTTAGTCCTTGCCATGGAAAAGGTGGTATTAATTCAACACAGTGTGGAATTATGTAATCCTGCCCTAACTTCCATGAAGAGCATTATCAAACACACAAAATCTTAAAGAGTATACAAGATCCTACTTGGAAAATAAGGACACATAAATATTGGTTCTATTTGCTCTGCAATTATTGAAAAAATCATTGGAACAGAGGGGCTTCACCCCAACCTCACTCCATCATTCTGTGTCTTTATGCTAACATTATATGCCAGGGGTCTCAACAGACAGCTTTAACATGGGTTCCAAAAAGACTATTGGAGGAACTTCAGAAGAACTGTGGAGGGAGCCTGGACAGCTATAAGGATGGACAGGGTAAGCAGGGAATTGGAATAGGACAGAAGACTGTTCTAAGCCAGTTTGAGAGACATTGTAAATAACTCCACTGAATAAAATCGGTCAATTTTATATGTATGACCTGCTGTGCAGACAAAAACTGTTCTACATTTAACCTGTCATTACTTAGAGTTATTCTGTAATGTTCTCTTCTGGGGAAGAAAAGGCAGGTGGAGGTATCTGGAGTGATGTTCCAATGTGTGGGGAAAGAATTAAAAACATTATTGGGGGCAAGCTAAAAGTGGTTTTGTGTAGGAAATGGAAGGCAATGCTCAAAGGCAGACTCATTAGCTGCATGCCTATACCAGGCCAAGGAACTGAGTGTCCTAAGCCCCAAATAAGTACTAGAGACACAAAGACAACTCTGTACGGGGAAAATGGGGCTTCTTTTTTTTATCACCTTAGATGGGAATCAGAATCATGTAGTAAGTATCATGTAGAAGTGAAAACTTTGAAAATATGAGCCGGTCACTTAGAATTTCTGAGTCTCTGTTCTCATCCAGACAGAAGTCTACTATATAGACTTCTGTAGAACATCTACTACATAGAGTCATCTTGAAGATTAGCAAAAGATATTAAGGAAGTGCTGAGCAAAAATAGTTGTTTAATGATTCTGAATACCTTTAGGTGAGACACACTGATATAAAGACAGGTCCTGAGTGTTACTAGAGAGCCTCCTGAAAGTGTCCCTGAGAACATCCAAGAGCTGATAATCAGAATATAGTTGGACATTCTAAGTCTGCAGTTCAGGAGGATGGATTACGAGTGAAGAAAATTTACATGTCAGTCATATAGGTCTTTGTATGTGCTAATTGTGGCAATGGTGTTTAGGCAAAAATCAAAGGAGTGTATATAGGATGTAAAAGAGGGCAATACCAACACTGAATCTTCAAGAAAAAGGCATATGGTAGAGAAGTAAG